AACATGAGTGAAACTCCGTCTCAAAAAAAAAAAAAAAAAAAATTTTTGGAATTAGCTGGGTGCAGTGGTGCATGCCTATAGTCCTGGCTACTCAGGAAGCTGAGGCAGGAGGCTTGCTTGAGTCCTGACTAAAAGAGTGAGACCTGACGAAAACAAAGAAAGAAAAGAAAAACTTTTGTTTTAGCCAACTCTTTTCTTTTTTTTTCTTGAGATGGAGTCTCACTCTGTTGCCCAGGCTGGAGTGCAGTGGTGCGATCTCAGCTCACCGCAACCTCTGCCTCCCAGGTTCAAGCAATTCTCCCTGACTCGGCCTCCCACGTAGCTGGGATTACAGGCACGTACCACCATGCCGGCTGATTTTTGTATTTTTTAGTAGAGACAGGGTTTCACCATGTTGGCCAGACTTGTCTTGAACTCCAGACCTCAGGTGATCTGCTTGTCTCAGCCTCCCAAAGAGCTGGGATTCCAGGCGTGATCCATTGTGTCTGGCCTAGTCAGCTCTTCAGATGGCTGCATGCTTGATGGTTAGAGAGTTGTCCCGCCACAGCTGTCTCCCTGTGGCTACAGCATTAGTCCCCCAGCCCAATAACCAACTGTCCCCACACCCCTGTTGCTTATTCCCCCATCCCACTGCAATAGAACCCCAAACCTCTGGCATTCCTCCCCTGCCCCAACCCCTCGCCCTATTGCCACCATCCCTTCTCCCCCTCCCTCAAACCTTGCAATAATTTTTTTTTTTCTTTTTTTGGAGACAGAGTCTCCAAAAAAGTCGCCATCGCACAGGCTGGAGTGCAGTGGCACAATCTTGGCTCACAGCAACCTCCACCTCCCGGGTTCAAGCGATTCTCCTGCCTCAGCCTCCTGCGTAGCTGGGGCTTTACAGGCATGCGCCACCACACCCGGCTAATTTTTTTTATTTTTAGTACAGACAGAGTTTCGCCATGTTGGTCAGGCTGGTCTTGAACTCCTGACCTTGTGACCTGCCTGCCTCCGCCTCCCAAAGTGCTGGGATGACAGACATGAGCCACCACACCCACCCTAATAATCCTTTTTTCATAAAAGTTTCCCTACTATGTTTGGGTTATTGTACAGTCTTGACCACGTGTTCACAGCATCCCGTTTCTTCCCCAAACGTTACTCAGCATTCTGTCCTCTCCACAGGCACCTGAACTTTCAGTGGCCCCCTTAGTCTCATCAAGCAGTAAGTGTGGAGCCCCCCGTCACCTCTCCTGAGCTAACTGATCACGAGGAGGTACATTTATTGTTAACCTCCCCCCGAACCCCTGCTTCTGTCTGTCCCCTAAAAAGTTCCTCCAAACCCCTTCTTGTGTATAAAAGTGAAGCCTTTTCCTGTTTGAGAGATGGCAGCTTTCTGAGGCTGGGGCTTATCCCTATTTTTCTCTCCTCTAGCCAGGATTTTATTTTTATTTGACAGGCTCCAGGGCAAAGCACCACCTCCTCCTTGGCAGACCTTCCCAAACTGACCGCCAAGCCCCTGACTGCCCCTGCCCTCTTCTCAAGCTTCCCCCGAGCCCCTGACGGCCCCTCCTGTCCCCCAACATTTCCCTCGAGCCCGACTCCCTTTACTGTCCCCCCTAAACTGCCCTCAAGCCTCTGACCTCCTCTACTGTTCCCCTAAAGAGCCCCTGAGCCCCTCACCGCTTCGGCTGTCCCCTCGAGCTGCCTCCAAACTCCGGAACGCCGCTAGTCCCTCTAAACTGCCTTCAAGCCCCTGATCACCTCTACTGTCCCCCAAAACTGCCCCTTCAAACCCATGACTGCCCCTACTGTCCCATCACAAAATGCTCCGGAGTTCCTGACCGCTGCTATTGGCCTCCCAAAACCTTCCCTTGAGCCTGACTCCCCTCTACTGAACCCCCAAACTGCCTCAGAGCCCGTGACCATGTCTGTTCCCGCAAACTGCCCCTCCCCTCCTCCACTGTTCCAAACTGCCCTTGAGTCCGTGACCGCCTCTACTGTCCCCCAAAGCTGCCCTCGCGCCCATGACAATCTACTGTCCACCTAAACGGCCCCAAGCCCCTGACCACCCCTACTGTCCCCACGAGCTCCCCCCAAACTCCTGACCTCTATTGTCCCCAGATATTAACCCCTGGAGCCCCTGACCGCCTCTACTGTCCCCCAAAGCTGCCCCCACCCCTACCGCTCGGCCGCTGTGACGGCGTCCCCGGGGCCCAGGCGCTCGTCCTGCGCCATCCCGCGCGTGCCGCAGCCTCCTCCGGCCACGAACTCGGGCGCTCAGTCTCCTCCGGCCGCCCCGCCCCGCCCCGAGCCAGGGCTCCGCTCGCGCCCCGCACTAACCATGTCCTGCCCGTTCCTGGGCTCTCCGGGTGAGCACCCGCCGTCCCGCAGCCGGGGCAGGTGAGCGCCACAGGGACACCTGAGCCGCTCAGGGTAGGACTGAAAGCGCGCAGGGCGAGGGGAACTGGGCGTACTGTCCCCGGGGCCTCATTGGACAGAACTCGTGAAGTCGCGACTCTGATTGGACAATGCTGTCGACGTCAGCGCCCCTGATTGGAGAGTTCCCCAGTCGGTCCCCTTAGCGCCCTTGACTGCGCAGGTCACCACCTCAGCTTCACGTCTCTGATTGGACAGACCCCTGCGCCCCGCCTATGCCTGTCCTGATTGGATAGTTCTTTAGCCCCCCCCCCGCCTCCCCGCCTCCTGATTGAAGAGCGCGTCGGGGGCACGCGTGGCTGACCCTCCAGCCGGGAATGTGCGGATCTGCGCGGGAACTCCAGACTCAGTTTCCCCTCGGAGCGGCCCCGCTTGCGGGAAGGAGGGGAAGGGCGAGCAGTCCCGTGGGGCGCAGTCCTGCGTGGGGGCGGGACCATATCCGTGACGTCACCTCGCTGTCCCGCGTGGGCACGGACACCTGGGGTCTAGAGACCTGGAGACTAGGCGACCAGACCCCCCAGGAGTATGGACCCCATCAGGAATGTGCTGTGTTGTTTAAAACTCTTGGCCCGAGGCGGGTGGATCACGAGGTCATGAGATCGAGACCAGCCTGGCCAACATGGTGAAACCCTGTCTCTACTCAAAATACAAAAATTAGCTGGGCGTGGTGGTGCATGCCTGTACTTGGGAGGCTGAGCCAGGAGAATCGCTGGAACCCAGGAGGCGGAGGTTGCGGTGATCCGAGAATGCGCCATTGCACTCCAGCCTGGACAACAAGAGGGAAACTCCGTCTCAAAAAACAAAACAAACAAAAAAAAAACCTCTCAGCCGGACGCCTGTAATCCCAGCATTTTGGGAGGCTGAGGCGGGTGGATCACCAGAGGTCAGGAGTTCGAGACAAGCCTGGCCCACATGGTGAACCCCCGCCTCTACTCAAAATACAAAATTAGCTGGGCAGGCTGGCCAGCACCTGTGATTCCAGCTACTGGGGAGGCTGAGGCAGGAGAATCGCTTGAACCCAGGAGGTGGAGGTTGCAGTCAGCTGAGATCGCGCCACTGCACTCCAGCCTGGGTGACAGAGTGAGACTGTTCAAAAAACAAAACTCTCAAGTGTACACTTGGCCGTGGGAAGAAAAAAAACAACCCTTTTAGGCCCGAGTTTGACTGTTTCTAGAGGAGTCTCTCTGTCACCTAGTCTGGAGTGCAATGGCACAATCTCGGCTCATTGCAACCTCTGCCTCCCGGGTTCAAGACATTCTCCTGCCTCAGCCTCCTGCGCAGATGGGATTACAGGCGCCCACCACCATGCCTGGCTAATTTTTGTGTTTTGAGTAGAGAGAAGGTTTCACCATGTTGGTCAGGCTGGTCTCGAACTCCTGACCTCAGGTGATCTGCCCACCTGGGCCTCCAGAAGTGCTGGGATTACAGGCGTGAGTCACCACGCCCGGCCCAGATAATTTTTTAAAGTAAAAGGCTGTACTACTTACACGGCAATTTAATTCTTGTTTTAACTCATTTGAGAAAAGAATCATAGTAATTTAAATAACTTTGGACTGGACATGAAAACTCTGAATACTTTTATTGAGTTGAGCCACAACACCTAAAGCCTTGAACACAACAGCTCATCTCAGAAAATACCTTCCAGCTTGACACAGAGTAGAAGTATAAACTTTGTATCACTTGCCATTTTATGTACAAACATAATTGTCTTGGTTTTTGTTTTGTTTTGTTTTGAGCAATGGAGTGTTGCTCTTGTTGTCCAGGCTGGAGTGCAATGGCGCAATCTCAGCTCACGGAAACCTCTGCCTCCCAGGTTGAAGCAATTGTCCTGCTTCAGCCTCCAGAGTAGGTGGGATTACAGGGTCCCACCCTACACCAGGCTATTTTTTGTTTTTTTGTTTGTTTGAGACAGAGTCTCGCTGTGTCACCAGGCTGGAGTGCGGTGGCACGATCTCGGCTCACTGCAACCTCTGCCTCCCAGGTTCATGCAGTTCTGCCTCCGCCTCTGGAGTAGCTGGGACTACTGGCGTGAGCCACTGCGCCCGGCCAATTTTTGTATTTTTAGTAGAGGCTAGGTTTCGCCATGTTAGCCAGGCTGGTCTCGAACTCCTGACCTCATGATCTGCCTGCCTCGGCCTCCCATAGTGCTGGGATTACAGGTGTGAGCCACCGTGTCCAGCCTATAATTGTCATAATTCATGTTTTTATTGTGTCAACCTAAATAACAGGCTAATAGAAAACGATGGTAACGCATTGCAATGGGAATCTGCGCGCCATAGCAAACTATGTGCTCGTTCAGGGAGGTAAAGGAAGACAAACGTTGCTTTTGGATTTTGGTTTTTTTGAGACAGGGTCTCTGTTGCCCAGGCTGGAGTGCAATGGTGAGATCACAGTTCACTGCAGCCTCGACACCTGGGGCTCAAGCGATCCTCCTGCCTCAGCCTCCAATTCGCTGGGACCGTAGTACACTACTATTCCCAGCTAATTTTTCTATTTTTTGTATATATGGGGTTTTACCATGTTGCCCAGGCTGGGACAAAGGTTTTCTTTGTTTTTGAGATAGTCTTGCTCTGTTGCCCAGGCTGGAGTGCAGTGGCACAACCTCGGCTCACTGCCTCCTCCACCTCCTGGGTTCAATGATTCCCCTGCCTCAGCCTTTCAAGCAGTTGAGATTACAGGTGCACATCACCACCACACCCAGCTAGTTTTTCTATTTTTAGTACAGACAGAGTTTTATCATATTGGCCAGGCTGGTCTCGAACTCCTGACCTCATGATTCACCCACCTTGGCCTCCCAAAGTGGTGGGATTACAGGCGTGAGCCACTGAGTCTGGCCAACAAAGGTTTTTAAAGGGGAAAAAAAGTGAGGATTACATAATAGTTCAGAAATGATTATCCTTGTATAAAAAGATCAGTAACAAGGCGCATACTGGTCTGAGTGTCTGTGTAAAAGTATCTTTGTGTGTAAGCCTGTAATTTTTGTAGAGTCTTTTTCATTACTAAGCAAATAAATGTGAGAACCCTCTCTTTGTGACCTTCCCTGGTTCTGTTTCTGGGAGGGTTTCTTAATATTAGCGGCTCCGTTATGATTGTGGCAATTTTCACAGTGCTTTGAACAAAAATTATACATTTTAATAAAAACTAGGGTTTAGGGGAACAAAACCTTTTTTTTTTTTTTCTGAGACAAAGTCTCAATCTCTCGCCCAGGCTGGAGCGCAGTGGCACGATCTTGGCTTACTGCAACCTTTGCCTCCCAGGTTCAGGCAATTGTCCTGCCTCTTGCCTCCTGAGTAGCTGGGATTACAGGTGTGTGCCACCATGCCCAGCTAATTTTTGTATTTTTAGTAGAGATGGGGTTTCACCATGTTGGTCAGGCTGGTCTCGAACTCCTCACCTCATGATCTGCCTGCCTTGGCCTCCCAAAGTGCTGGGATTACAGGCGTTAGCCACCATGCCCAGCGGGAACAAATCTTAAAATAGCTTTATATATTTAAAAAGTGACTTCCTGGCCAGGTGCTATGGCTCACACCTGTAATCCCAGCACTTTGGGAGGCCGAGGCAGGTGGGTCACCTGAGGTACGGAGTTCGAGACCAACCTAGTCAACATGGCAAAACCCTGTCTCTACTAAAAATACAAAAAATTAGCTGGGCGTGTTGGCGGGAGACTGTAATCCTAGCTACTTGGGAGGGTGAGGCAGGACAACTGCTTAAACCCAGAAGGCCAAGGTTGGAGTGAGCCAAGACAGTGCCATGCACTCCAGCCTAGGTGTTAAGAGCAAAACTCTTTTTTTTTTTTTTTTTTTTTTGAGACAGTGTCTCACCTTGTTACCCAGGCTGGAGTGCAATGGCGCGATCTCGGCTCACCGCAACCTCCGCCTCCTGGGTTCAGGCAATTCTCCTGCCTCAGCCTCCCGAGTAGCTGGGATTACAGGCACGCGCCACCATGCCCAGCTAATTTTTTGTATTTTTAGTAGAGACGGGGTTTCACCATGTTGACCAGGATGGTCTAGATCTCTTGACCTCGTGATCCACCCGCCTCGGCCTCCCAAAGTGCTGGGATTACAGGCGTGAGCCACCGCGCCCGGCCAAGAGCAAAACTCTTAAAGAAGGAAAGAGAGAAAGAGAAAGAGAGAAAGACATGCGTAGTATCAGAGTCCCCAAAAAAGTAAACAATAGCACAATTTTTCATGTTAAATCATTAAGAAACACATAAATACTAGGCCGGGCGTGGTGGCTCACACCTGTAATCCCAGCACTTCCGGAGGCCGAGGTGGGAGGATCGCTTGAGCCCAGAAATTCGAGACCAGCCTGGGCAACACAGTGAGATTTCTTCTCTAAAAAAATAAATAAAAATAAAAAATAAACACATAAATACTATAATAAATGTAGGCACTTACCTTGCAGAAGATCCAAAGGTGGCTTCTGGAATTTGGCAAGGGAATCTAAATTTCTCCAGAGTTCATATGCAGTGGTGGAGAGACGGTTGTCAGAAATCTAACGGAAAGTTTAGGGCAGAGGAGACAGGTGTGGCGTGGTATTTGAGGTGTGTGTGCACATTTCCTGTTTCCCTATCAGGCTGTTTTCAGTTGTGTGTAATTTCCTTCGCTCATCTAGTGTTTCTTGGGGATGAAACTGAACATAAACAAATATGAAGTTTGTGTTATATTCACATTACCCAACATATCAGGTGAAGATAAAGAGCCCGTGTTTCCAAATCAATTGTTCTAGCCAACTGACAGCCTGTGTGTATTCACTATCTACATAGAATTAATTTAAAGTAAATGGAGGGGCCGGGCGTGGTGGCTCATGCCTATAATCCCAGCACTTTGGGAGGCCAAGGGGAGTGGAACACAAGGCCAGGAGTTCAAGACTAACCTGGCCAAGATGGTGAAACCCCATCTCTACTAAAGATACGAAAATTAGCTGGGTGTGGTGGCAGGCGCCTGTAATCCCAGCTACTCAGGAGGCTGAGGCAGAGAACTGCTTAAACCTGGGAGGCAGTGAGCTGAGATCGCGCCACTGCACTCCGGCCTGGGTGACAGAGCA